TCCTAAAACTGGATCTCATCAACTACCCCCTTCCCCCAACAACGTACCCAATTATGTGCTCGATATTTCGAAATGGACGGAACAAAAGGCATTCGAGCTTTCTATCATGACTTTGGACTTGAAAAAAAAACAATCATAACTCAACTAAAGCAAATTGATGAAAAAAGGCTGCGGAGAAGCGAGAAAGAGTCGTTAGATTTTCGATGTCGATTTTACCCCCGTTTTCTACAAAATAGTTGAATTATATTGTTTAAAAAGAGGATATCCATAGGAAAAGAGATATCGATAGTACTTGAGTTTTGTAGTATATGTATACTTGACACCATTGCATTCTGCATAAATTATTTGGGGAGATATTGTTTTGCAGGTACAAATACGAATTGATGTATTACTAACTAATACTACTGGGCAGGGTGATTTTTTGTAGGAACCCAAGTAGAGGGGGGGGGGGGGAGGGGGGTTAGGGGTGATTCTTTTTTTGCACTGAATGAATGAAGGGTACATTTTTGAGTGAGCGATCGTCAGACAGACACAACTTATCACACTTCAAAGGGGGGTTAAATTGTGACGGCGGCGAGGCTGTCAAGTTTTCAACAAAAGAAGAAGAAGAAGAAGAAACAAGTCTGAGAGGGCACATAAACCTAATAGGGTCACCCTTTGTCAATGTACATTTTACAACTTAATACTTAATTATAAAACTACAAAACAAATAGAAACAGATACAATAAACCAACAAATTGAAATTCAAAATACCCACAAATTCAACCCACTTTCTTCGGACCTTAAATGGCAGAATAATTTAGTTTTCACAATGAAAATTTTCCTGTTTTTAAGCAATTTTCACTAAAGAAACAGGATACTATTGACTAACAGGAACACACATTGGCTACGCAAAACAATTGTTGCTATGGACTATAAATTGTTGTCAATTTAGACTTGACTGTCAGATTAAACAGAGGTTTGACCCTCGGGTAAAGAAACATTTTGGATATTTAACAAATGAGTTACACATTTTTCGCTTAATTGAGTCTTGATTTTGTCGGCGGGATCTTGAATGTTTCTTCTATTTATCGTAATAGGTCTGCAGTTTTTGGCAACATAAACCAATTCCTCGAAGCTTTTAATATGTGCAGTTCTGCCGAATGATGATTAAATAGAAAAAATTGAAGTACGTTAAGCAAAGTGTGTCCGCGATCTCCGATGGGGGAAGGCCTAAGAACAGAAGACAGCTGCGTATCAGCAAATAGGTTATTTAACTAGTACAGATTTGCAACACTTCGTAACAGCTCGTAAGAAACAAACAGCTCGTAAGCAAATGTGAACTCCCATTACGCATTGCAAAAAAAAAATTGTTCAGACCACCACAAGAGATGGAAAGGAATTATGGCAAAGGGTAAGTTTTTTCGATAAAAAATCAGTTGCCTCAAAGAACGCTTGTAGTTCATCGAGTTTGATATCACCTTGAAGCGCTTTCAGTCATAACTCATGTTCCAGAGATGAAATCTCTCAGGGCCGAGAAAAAAATCCATTAACTTATTGCTATTCAGTCAGACCCAAATTAGTGAAAAGCGGAATTGTTTAAAAATGCAATCATTTAAAAGCCGAACTGTAATTTTTCTAATTTCTTAATCTGTTACTGGTTCCATATCCATTTCAAAAGATTAATATATTTTGCCTGTCAATCATTAAAGAACCGAAAAAATAAAATTTTGAAAAGAGAAATTTTTGTTTTCCATTTTTACATGTCAGAAATTTCTGTGCTAGGTGCACTGTGACCGGGTTTTTGTGTTTTTTGAGAAAAATAGGTTGATTTAAAATACTTTGAAAAATAGAGTTTGGGTCTAATTCAAGTTTGGCTTATTTGCGCTTCGGGCTAATAGAGGGTTGCAGGTAACTATTTTGTTTGCTTAAATGTGCGGCCGTAGGGTCGTTATGAACATTTGTGAGAAGAGAGGGCCAGGGCGCACTTGGAGTTCACAGTTGCCCAGTCTGCAGTCAGGTTGAAACACTTGTCCACTCATGTCATAACACACCTGTCAGTCAATCAATCTGACAGCCTCAAACTGTACCTATACACAAAAATATATCAAAATTTACCACACATATACATTTTCCAACCAACACCCCCTTCACCTCCCCCCATTCACCCACTTCAATCATGACCCTATTATATTGAGCCACATTTGAGATAGTATTTCAGCAAATAACTGCTCGTTAACCTAAGGAACGCAATTCGATTATCAAAATGAGCCAATAAATACCCCGTTGTCTCTAGATTTGTTTCTGAGAATCAAATTTAGTTTATGGTTTGAGCGAATAGAGTAAAGATTATAGATATCACGTCAATTTACTTAAAAGTTTCTAATCTCAATATCAAGTTTATGGAGCGCAAAATTTCTTCAATTATAAATTATCAAACAAAAGAGCAAGGACTTTAAGGAAGCCAAAAAATGCGAACTTTTATTGAATAAAATTTATGTTAATTTTGTTAAATTAAGTTTTTTTTGCAGTTGTCGGAAAAGGAAATCATGAGAATCATGAGTGGAGAGGCTTTCATGGACAAAGACTGGGACTCCCCTCCCACTCCCCCCTCGGCGACCTCGACTTCCTCTTCCGGAAATCAGTCCCCCTCCCCCTCAACCAGCAGCACCTCCCCGAACTCAGGACCCCACTCAGCAAACAACAACAATAACAACTCCTTAAAACAAACGTTTGAGTCACCCCAACAGTCGCCAAATGGACCTCCAAGTCTTCCTTCGCCTCACAAGGATCCTGTCGACGTTCCGCGACTCCTAAAAGCAAGAAGTTCCGAAGCAAGCGAGACTGTTTTTCCTATTCAAAGTACCAATGAAATGATTTCACCGTCACAAATTCCAGTTTCATTTAACAGCAACAATTTCACGAGCCCAGCAGCTCCGTTTAACATAACAGGAGGACTCTTTAATCCAACATCGTTTCCTAGTTATCCCAGGATTCCAAATCCAGTTGATGCGCCAAACTTCAATTTTGCAAATCCCGGATCCCTCAATATGCATCTCCGTTTGTTCAACTCAAACTCTGCAGCCAGTTGGCAGAACCTGCTTGCTTCCACCTCATTGGCCAGAAATTTTTACAATTACCAAAACATGCTTCCAACTTCAACCGCCGCTAGAGGGCTGCCCCCTCTTCTTCCACAAATTCCGCAACTACCATTCCTCACTTCAAACCAACAAACTTACATAAATGGAAATAGTCTTCATAGTGCGGGAGGACCTCCAACCAAACGAGCTCGAATCGAGATCGAAGAAAATAAAGACCCCGTGCCAACTACTCTAAGCTTAAGCTCAAATATGAACAATTTTATGCCACAAACTAGTTCGCCAAAAATAGAACCGAAATTCAACTCGCTTGCTAAAAGTGTTTCATGTGACAACACGAAATCGGAAAGAAGTTTCGAAGACATTGAATGTGTTGAGGATCTGACTTTCTCCGCCGAGACGAAATCTCTCGTTATGAAGATTCTGACGGACAACAAAGAAGATTCATCAATGAAGTTTGAAATAATGAAGGCCGAAATAGTAAAATTGCAGGTATAATGAAAGTTCTGCTTTTCTTTTTTTATAGAATGAATAATCTTTGAATCGAAAACAGGAACTAAAGAGCCGGAGTCATAGCCCAGTTAAAACTCTGACATCTTAATTTAAAGAATTGCAAAGTTTTTTCAAAACTTGCATTGAACTTATAAAATTTTCAACGCATCTCATCAAGAATTGGAATGTATTGCCAAGAATTGGAATGCATTTCCAAGAATTGGAACAAATTTCCAAGAATTTCCTGTTTTTCTAACAGCGTGGTTGTATTTTAGAATGCATGGCTGGCGAAATTTCAAGAATTCTCAAGTTGTGAGTTCGATTTTTCTGGCGAATCTTGGTTGGAGACACTGATATTCTGCACAGTTCAAGACAACTCACTTGTTGAGAAAATGTCACAGTTTTCAGATGACAAGTCTTTATCGGTAAGCTTTTTGAGAAGTTTTTAATTTCATTGGCGAATTTCTCATTTCAATATCAAAAGTTTCAGGAGACCAAATTTTTGAACAAAAAAAAAGTATAAAATTGATTGTTGCTTTTCAGGAAATTTTCCCAAATTTCGAAGAAATAGTTGAAATGCTCAAACGAACAGCCCAGAAGTTCCAACAACTAGACTTCACTTGTTCCGAAGCCAAACTGAGCAAAATGGCAAATATTGCACAAAAAAATACAGGTAAAAATCATTTACATAATCATTTTTCAAAATGATGTTTCTAAATTAATATTAATCAATAACAAAAAATATTTCAATTCCTCTGCAATTCTTCTTTGAATTTGGTACAAGGCCAATAAGTTTTTGGCACGAAATTTTTAAGGCGCGAGCAAAAAATCTTCATCCGCTCTGTATTAAAAGACATTACAAAGAGTTTGCAATTGGTTTTAGAAGTACCATCAGTTTCGTCTGAAACGAAAGATGAGCTGGAAAATCTGCACAACTTAGTGATGGCCAAACTGCAAACGAGCACTTGTGCAATCAAGCCAACAAGATTCGGACAAGTTCTTCAGTTCAACTACGAAGTGAAACGTCTCACTGACAAAATCAGCACTGCATTCCTTGAAGCCAAAAAGAAAAACGAGGACAAACTAAATTCTGCCATGAACAGTTTTTTGAAGCAATTATTTCAAGTGAGCACGGATATCAAAAGCGAAACTACAATTGGAGAATAAACTCAAGTAGATATAAAATAGTGCACTTCTGCATTAAATTATTAGTATTGCTTGATAAAAATTGTACGAAACTATTTTCTGATTTCGTTTTTGTATTCACAGAATGCTTATTTATATATTGCCGCTTATTCCATATTAAACTGCTTCCAAAATATACTTCCAAATAATGTTTTGTTTTATTTAGCTCATAAAAAGCAAAAAAAAATGTTTCCTGTATTATGAAAAAAACCAATGAACAAGATGGTTCAAGTCCTCGGTCTTTAAAACACGCTAAACGAGCCCTGTCAATAACAAACAAAATTTTTTTTTCGGATTCAAAACAACGATCTAGGGGTTCGAATTTACTGCAATCATAATACATGTCGAATCGATACATGTTAAGATAGCAGTCAAGTTATTAACTTCGCTTCTGTTAAAAAGATTAGAAAAATTAATAGATTCTCAAAAAATTTCTTGGAGTAAAATTTAAAAAAATATTGAAAGTGAAGTAAATTGTGGAGTATGAGCAATAATATTTAGGCAGGAAAACAAAATAAGTGGGAACTAGGAGTTTCTCGAAGAGTTTCTCTTTCAAAAATTGTGTCGACCATTTTTGGGGTCGACCAAATTGATTTCCCGAGCACTCCCAGAACACTATAAAGACCCTATTTTGACCAAAAAAATAGTACTTATTCTCAGGGTGCCCAAAGCGCTTTTCTCAAAATTTTAGGGTTGGTCGGCCTAAAATCATGGATGTTATAAAATAATACCAAAAGGGGTTTTGGTTGGCGAGGGAGTCAAATCCCTGCGTAGGGATGTCCGTTCCCGCCTGCCTAAGTCCGCCTCTGAGCGGGAATGCTTCCTAAATATATTCAATATTGACCTAACCTTTGTTTTTCAAAAACATGAAAATTCTATAAGAGTGCCGTGTAACTTCTTACCGGTTTCTTATAATCTTTGATACTAATAATTTAAACCACAGTTAAGCCCTCATGAGTGAGTTTTGTGTCTTTCGATTTGTGTGTTTATGTGTGCGTAAGTGTATGTGTGAGTTAGTGGAAGCCTCTACGCTTCTCTTGTCAATCAGCTGAACCAATGTAATTGATGTTTTCTTTAGTCATAAAATTCGTCGCATGCATCTTCCATATTAGATATAATTCAATTTGGTCAGTTCTTTGAGAAGAATAAGGTCAAAAAATTATAAGCTAATAGTTTCTAGAATTCTTCAATAGTTCGTTTCTATTCATAGATGTTTTGAATAAAATCCGTGCTTTGGAAAATTTTTTTTCCAGATTCAGTTATCAAACCCCTAAAATTGACGTTCCCGAAATCAATACAATCGCCTCCTGCATTGATGTTTCATGCATAAAAATTGATTATACTGCCTTTTCATTGTCAGTCTCTATAAAACTAAAAACTATTAGGTTATCACCGAATAAAAATAGATGAGAATTTTAACTTTTGTCATATCAAAAAAATCAATGTAAGTTACGAGTAGTCAGGATTCTGTCGGTCCACCTGGTCTGAAACCGGACTCATTCGGTCCAAATGGTCTGAATCCGGATTTCTTTGGTCCACACGGTCGGAACCAGGATTAAATGGATCTACATGTCCAGAAGCTCCTAAACCAGACTCCTTCGGTCCACGCGGTGTGAATCCGGATTTCTTCCGTCCACACTGTCTGAACTCGGATTTCGTTGTCCACTCGGTCTGAAACCGGATTCCTACGGTCCACATGGTCTGAATCCGGATTTTATGGGTCCACACGGTCTGAAAACGGATTCACTCAGTCCACACGGCCTGAACATATTATTTTCTGGTCCACACGGTCTGAACATACCATATTCTGGTCCACATGATCTGAACATAAAACCACGACCTCAACCCGGGTCATAATAGTTTATAATGGATCAGAATCGTTTTTTGTAAATTTTTTGGAAAATTTTAACCACAGTGCAGTATAATCAAAACTTAACAGTTAATTTTGGCGTTATCTAATTCAGAAACAAAATTTGATTTGGTATCTTGATTTTAATTTCATGATTTACATTTTTTTGTCATAAACCTTTTAATTTCTCATTTTTTGCTGATCTTTATTTATTCTACTTAATTCATTTTCCGCCCCTTGTGGTCCCTCCAACACGTGGCACCCCCATCAACCCGCCCCCTCTCCCCTACATTTGTCTCCAATTACGTGAGGGACGATTGACATGAGTGGAAAATTTGGGGGAGTGGTGGCAAGCGGGCCAAAGACACGAGTAACGAAGAAAATGTTTTAATAAAAGTTTTATAATGGATTTCAGTTAATTGATAATTATTTTGGACTTTATATGACTTATAAACCAAAAAAGGATTCTAGTGTATTTTGTTTTCATGGATTGAATCAATTACAAAAAAAAACGAAACAGAGCTTTGCACAACTTGTGATGCAAATTTTGTAAGCCAAGAAAAGAATTTCAAAAAATTAAATTACAAAATTGATGCAAAAACATTTTCATAAATTACATAAGCAACAAAATCATGCTACCTCTAATTTACTTTTTAAAATTGCTTGCTAGGCATCGAAGTATTGAGAAGACACGCAATCGAAACATTATTCACTGCACTGATGAAAATCAAAAACCACTAACTCTCATTTACATTTTCAAAAAAAAAAAAATATCTATACAGAACAATATTATTCAATTTTTCAGAAGCATAGACAAGTTAGATTAGAAACTCAACAAAGGTGATCTGAAAAACTAAAAACGGTTCTAAAAACTACAACACAAATGACAATTAAAAATTTTGCTAAAACTTCCGAAAAGCAATTCCAAAACATTTCAAGACTTGAGACATAATTTTTATTAGTTCAGCAGCTATGAGCGGCTATGAAGCCAAAAAACCGCCGATTTTGAATTCCACACAAAAATCCAACACCACACAAGAACAACACATTGACAGAACGAAATTGCTTGACCAAAAAATCAAACAGAAAAAAATTATCGAGGATTAGCGATTAAGATATGCCATTGAACTATTCTCAGAAAAAAATGTAGCCCAAAAACACATCAAAATTAACTAAACGCAAAAAATAGTCGAATTTTTCATAAGCAAACAAAAAAGGAAAAAAACTAAATTTGTCTAGCAAGTCGGATCAAAACTATCGAAAAATTTGAAATTAAACTTTTTTTCTGATCTTCAAAATAATTTTAAAAACCATTCGTTTATTTTAAACATTTCTCTTTTGGTCAATTTTTGAAACTTACAGAGCTTTGCTGATGTTTTCAACCAACGCTGAGATAAAATTTTTTCTATAAATGAATCAGATTTATGCCTACTTTTATTTCTTTTTTCACAATTTTCGCAAAAAAAATATGCCCAAGCACAACGAATAAAAATTGGGTTGATGCATAAGAAACTTGAGCTGTTTTGAATTTTTTTTTCAGTATATCCTGTGCTCAAAACAGTTTCAAATCATCACTTCAAGTCGTATACATGGCTAGGGTAACCCTACCTAATTTTTGAAGATTGACTTTGTGCAACAAATCTCTGACTTTCAGCAGTTGTGTCATTGCTTTTTACTTTTTTTCCACTAAAAACTTACAAAACAAACTTACGTTCTGGATGAATTGTGTCACCGTTTCTTGGATTATCTGTTTTTGTCATTTAAAAACGATGCTTAACCCGAATTCTGTTCTGAATTGCGGAGGGTTCAAATTAGAGATAAGAAATTTGTATTAGAATAATTTTTGCACAAAATGAAGCAAAAACATAGCAGCAATAAAAAAAATGGCGCGAAAGTCTTTTTATGTGCTACAAACGGTCTAAAAATAAAAAAATTAACACAGAGGCGAAGTGGAGCTTCTAATTATTTGCGCTAAAACAAAACATTTAAAAAAACGGAAAAACTTTTAAATGTTTGAAAAAAAATATGATAAAAAAATTACGACTGTCAATCAAAATTTTCGTATTACTCGAAAGGAAACAAAAAAAATTGAACTAATCAATTTTACCAAGGAGATAACATTTCTCCTAAAAAATTGAAGATTGGCCGTTTCTACAGGAAAAATAATCGCAACCAAATCCTTCAATTGAAATTTTCATCTCAGATTTGATTGTGTAAATCTTAAGAAAATGCAGAATGTTTTTAAAAAACGGTCAGAAAAATTTCCGAAATACATAAATTTTTCTCCAAAAAGCAGGTTGTGACCGCTTATTTAAAGAAGACTGAACACTTCATCTGAGAATTGGCTCAGTAATTTTTGCGTTAAGTCAAAAAGTTTCCAAAAAATTATTAGTGTTTCAAAAATTTGATTTGTTTGATAGCCATATTTTTTTCTTAAAAAAATTGGTCATAAGTGATTATAATGGTTATGACCAATGTTCAACATCCTATTGGTTATGATGGTTTTCAACATTCTATTGTTTTGATCCGACCTCTGATATCAGATTTAGCAGAATCGTTAGCGAGAAAAGTCCAAAAAACGGTCAACAAATCAAAAGTTTGACATTTCCGAAAATCATAGCTTTTTGTGCAGACAAATAAAGCTTATCCGCTTAGACACAGCAGATTCAATCAATCGGTTTTTTTAGATTGAACCCAAAAACTCAGATTTATGTGGGTATTTCTCGAGACAATTTTTTTTTTAAATAAAAAAATAAACGTTCAAAAAATCAAAACTTAGACTCTTCCGAGGGCCATAACTTTTGGTTTCAAAAAATTTGGACACAGTCGCATAATTAATTGAGCTTTACACAAACCGTTTTTTTGAATTGAACGCAAAACTTCAGATATGGCTGGGTAGATTTCGAGAACACTCCGAACAGTTTTTAAGAAAACGGTCAATTATCAAAAGACTTTTTCAAAGGCCATCACATAAGTTGTGAAAAAAAATTGGGCATGGACGCTTATGCAGGAAGATTTTTCAAACCTTAATTTTCAATGAAATGAAAAACTCAGATTTGAGAGGGGTAGTTTTCGAGAAAACGGAAAAAATCAAAACTATGGGTCAAAGATTTTTCGAAGGCTTTAGACAGAGGAGTCATGTATAAAAAGAAGCTAGGGGAGTATGCAGGCACACAGGGGAGTATTCGAACTTTCAACTGCAAATCACTCGAAGTTTCTATTTTTGAAAATCACTAGAGTTTTCCGAGAAAAAACAAACTGTTTCCAATAAAATTGGAAAAAAATTTTCAAAACGAAAAA